CTTCTTTTTTTCTGCACAAAACGAGCTTCTTTATAAGAGACTAAGATGGAGATCAAATTCACAATCATGGCTTTTTAAAAATCATGCACCAAGTAACAAAAACTCACTGGCTCATAGTCCATGGGAAGTACTAGATGCTTTGGGAGAGAAATTTAGAAAAATAGCTGATACATTCTTTTTATTTAAAATGTAGGTTTCCCCTTTTCATTTTCTGCAAGTGTGAAATGGAAATAATCCTCTCTTAATTTACAAGATTGCTGAAATCATCAAATCAGTAAGTATAACAGCATTCGTAAATTAGAAGGAATTATTCTTATTTCTTCTTAGTAGGCAACTATAACCCCTCTGGAGCGCTGTTCAGGTACTTTTCTTTAAAGCAAACAATCCAAGAGGGAATGCAGATTCTCTGCACTTTCATCTGCTCTAACTAAGCCAAGACAGGTCAGGGAGATGAGCAATCAGCGCGGGAATTCCAGGAAGGCTGGGGCCCTGTTTCTAAGCTGAAGGCTTGGCTGGAAGAAGGAGCCTTCTTGGCACTTTCTCTGGAATGCCGTTAATAATCCTTTAAGGGCTTGGTGGTAACTCCCGCTATCCCGAACCACGAGTGACTGGAGAAAATCTTCAGTTACAAGGGGCTGGAATAGAGCCAACCCGGTTGCAGCCAGGCATTTTACAACTCAACTGCGCGGGGCTGGTCTTCCGTGGGAAGTGAACCCTACTGGGATGCCAGAAGACGTATCAGGCGATGAGCTAAGAACAACAAATCATCCTGAATGAAGCTCTTCTAAGATACAAAGTGCAGATTAAATAGAAAAACTGAATTCTTGTTAGGAAGGAGCAGACAGCTGTGTTAGGCTGACAGCCTCAGAAACAGGAGAGACACTCTTGAGCTGAAATTCTAATTAGCGGCAGAACACACAGACGCGTAAAGTGTCACATCTCAATTTTGGGTTGGAAAAGAATCAGACTAGGAGGTACAGTCACAAACTGGACTCTGAAGGCACATCCATTCAATGAGTCAGAGGAGAGTTTAAACAAGGCTCCTGGCACAGAGACTCCCAGCAATCCAGCAGTTGTTGGCAAAAGTGGGTCCAGATCATGGCTTTGGGAGTTTTCTTAATGTGTGGAGTGACGATGCATGGCTATACTGTCAACCGCCAGGACTTGGCACACTGTCTGGGAAATCCGAGGCCCTCAATATATGGTAGTTGAACAAACGAAAGTTAGCAGATTGGCATAGTGTCCCGGGGAAGGGGTAACTGGCCTAAGTAATTCTTTTTGTTCCTTCCAGACTTATAATTCTAGAATTCTTAAAAATTCCACCTGTGTTCTTGACCCAAGGGCTAAATTCTTAGTAGGCTCCCAGCCCATTGCAAAAGATGTTCAAGAATCTAATAACCAGTTTGAGGAGAACAAAAAGAATAAAGATGAGTAAAAATTTTTAATCTTTCTGGGCCTGATTTGGCGACTGGCAGACATTAATGAAAGAACAATCAAATAAATAATGAACAAATAGAAAGTGGGAAATGAGTATATAAAAATAAAATCTGAATGTGAATAGATGTAAGCTCACCCACCTTATTTTCCCTCTTATTCTGTAGAGGAGGAAACCGAATTGAAAGAGTTTTAACTTTCATGAGTCTTTACAGATAAGGGGCAAACTTGAGGTTAGTCTAACTTATCCAGGTCTCTTCCTACTATGTTTATAAATGTAAATATGCTAAAAACATGTTACAGTATAAAATAGGTGTTTAACATTTTACTGTGCACACACATACATAGACATTCATTGAGATTTTAAATAACTTTAAATTATTGTCCTCCCAGAAGAAGTTTGTCTAGCTCATGAAATTTATTAAACCTTGAAACATTTTTCCCAAATATGGAATTGGTTATCTTTTCTGTCTCCTCACCTAGTTTCGTTTCTCAACTGCCTTATCTATCATATCTGCCTCCTTAAAGAAACACAAAGAAACTTTTCTTAAAGGCAAGTGGCCCAAGGATTCCTATACAAAGACAAATCCTAATGAAAATATTATCAAAAACTTATAAAATGAGAGGCAAAATAAAAACAAGATTTTACAGGTCCTCTGCCTAATTCTACTAAAGTCATGATTTCCTTTGGATCCTACGTGGAGACCTAGCTTTCCATTAATGTGTGTGGACACATGTGCGTATATGAGTCCAAAACAGAAAGGAGGCGGACAACTTCACTGGGAATTCTAGTTTTAGAAAAAGAAACATAATCCCATAAATATTGATTCCATAAAAGCATCCCAGAGTTCAGCTGTGCCTAAGATTAGTTTGTTGCTAAAAACACTGCAAAGTGTAGGTGTGAGCAGTTGCAACTAAGCACCACTGTTGATAAGGAGACAGCTGTTGACATAAATAAGTGATTGGAGTCCATAAATATAAAACTGCAAAAACAGGGAGACGATGGCCAGCCGTCTCCAGAGCCACGACAGCAAGTTCTAATGATTGTTCCCTGTACACTGAAGGGCAGGGATTATCAGCAGTCAATTCACTTGAATGAATTCAAGGAAATGAGGAGGAGGACCCCAGCACTGCCAAGCCTTCCCACAGAGCCAGTGCCAACACGGCTGTGGGGCAGGCATCCCTGACCTCCATCTGCAAGGTGTGATGCCAACAGGCCATGCTCTAATGACAACAGCAGTTCCTGGTCTGTGGCTAGGACACAAGGATTCTGAGAATTTTTTAACAAGCAGGACCATACTGGCTTGAAAGGGAAGTGATAAAAATACTGTGGGTTTGTGTTTACTAAAGGCAAAGTTCAGTGGGATTTATCATTACCCTGTACACATACACCAAGTATTTCCCGACATCCTTAATGCTGAGGACCTTCCTTTGAGTCAGATAATTCAATTACTGGAAAAATGTACTTTTATTTCCTTGAGGCTGGGATCCCTCCATTTACACAGCGGTGGCCATGCACCCAGGAGCACCTTTTTTGGATGAGTTAACTTGACTCAGAATTGAAGTCAAATTCTGACATAATCCAACAAGTAACTATAAAACCAGGTGGTAAGATTGAAATAGTAGGCAATGCTTTGGGTTCTTTATTTGTAATAACTCATCCGATTCTCCTACAAACCTGTGAATCAGACACCACTTTTTCCCATCTTATAGATGAGTAAATTAAAGTATAGAAAGCCTTAGAAAATGCCAAAGGGCATCCAACTGATAAATTGCCAAATCTGGAACCCGAACCCTGGGCAGTCCAGCTACAGAACTTGTTTTGTCTTACATGCCTTGAGATACCATTCTCCCACCTTTGGCTGATTGTCAGACATAGGATGTCCAGTTACATTTGAATTTCAGATAAACAACAAATAATTTTGGACAACAAATAATATCCCAAATATTGCATGGGGTACACTTATACTAAAAAATTATTTATTATTTATTTGAGATTCAGATTTGTTTGGGTTTCTTATATTTTTATTTGCTAAATCTTTCAATCCTATCCTAGAGGAAGCTGTACACATCAAGGAAGCAAAGAAAGAATTCTGATTAGTTTGAGTATTGGTTTCAAAACCCAAAGAAGAGCTTCTATCACAGAACTAAGCTAGGTGCAGAAATCTTTTTGTCCTATCTAGAAACAGTCTAGAATAACAGCTCTCAAACCTGCCTGAATGTGAACATTGCGTGTGCAGCTTTCAAAATACACATGGCTATGCCGGACTTGTCTAAGATTTCCTAAGTTCAGGGTGAGATAGGAACACTTGTATTTTCTAATGGTCTCCTAAATGTTTTCGTTTTCCTTCTCTTCTTCCTCCTTCTCTCTCTTCTTCCCTCCTCCTTTCTTTATAGTCTATCTACTCGTGATTAGCTCACAGCCCTGTGATTCCTGACCACTGGTCTGAAACCCTGTCTGTAAGTTAGAGTTTACCAATTCTATCAAGTTCAAGGAAGCAGCCCAGAAGACACTTCCAGTGTGGGAGGAAGCTGGAATAAGAGGCCAAGACTGTGAGAAAGGGCCTCTCCACAAGGCACAGAGCTGTTACCAGGCCTTCCTGAGCTGGATTTGTAGCCTCAGGCCTGGACTACACATGGGAGAAAGCAGGCTTTTCAGAGTTACAGAAGGAGTGCATGTACGTGTGTGTGTGTGTGTATGTATGCATGTGTGAGAGAGACAGAGACAGAGACACAGAGACAGAGAGAGACAGAGAGTGCCGTATGAGGACCAAGCCTCCCATTTCGAAGCAGGCTCTGGCACAAAGAGAGCAGATCACACCCATGGGCACCAAGACCGTTATACTATTTGAAAGTCCCAGCACTATACACCATGGCGTTAATAGTCCCCAGGAATTCAGATGTTAAAAATCTTCCCTGGAAGTGGGGAAACAAACTGAAAGAGGGCTGGCAAAAGCATAAACTCCCTCTGCAGTATGGCTGTGCTTCATGAGGGTATTATGAAATCAATTTAGGAGGACGTGACAATTTACTAATCCAAATGAAATAACATAAAAACAAGTAGAAAACATTCAAGGACACATCTCAGGCAAGAATTAAGTTCTGTTTCATAAAACGGTCCAGTTATTTTATGTATATATATGTGTCTATGTATGTATACACACATATATATACATAAAATAAATGTATATATGTACACACATATTCATGTTATATAACATATTTCTTTCTATTTAATATTAGACCCCATCAAAAAAGTTTGCAAAACACTGCTCTAGATGCAAATATCTATCACTTTTGGAAAGCAGAAAGCACAGGCAGGAGGGACTAGGACTCAGAGCAGATAAGCCTTGGGAAGCAAGACCCGGAAGAATGATCCAGGCTGCTGCCTAAAGAAGCTTACAGTGATAGATTTAGGAGCCATCTTTGGCGAACAGGAAGGTAGGGCGCGAGAGCAGTGTTCACCCAAGAGGAGAAGGTAAATTCAAAAGTCATATGTGTCACATTGCCTATTTTTCGTGCTTGTCCGGAAAGCCCTAGAAAAGGTCTCTGCTGAAACATAGGCCATGTCTGTGGTCATGCTTGTCCTGTCGCGAATGCCCTCTCCCTTCTTTCTAGATAAGCAGACAGAACGCCAGGCAGTGCTGGGGGGATGGCAGCCTTTGTATGAGGTTGACAGCACCCGCAGGAGGCAAGGTAAGGGCTGGAGGGAAAGCCCGATGCCGTGTTTTCTGTCCTGTTCATCAAGGACGCTTATTCCAATGGCAGACTTTTGAGACTGGGAATCGTAATTTTTCATCTTTTCCTGTGTTGATATAAAAGAAAGGTTGAGAAGCCATAGGGAAGTGTTCCTTTAAGTTTGATCAATGCTGTGGAATAAAACTTTTAGCATGT